AGCTGTTGTGTTCAGTGTGGCCAATATGATGGATTCCATGGCTAAGATCCTCACAGAGGTCTCTAGGCTTTTGCTGGAGGATTTGCCCAACTCCCTGCACCCACACGTGGCCGATGCTGAAGCCAAAGGTAAGAGCTTCCATTTGGTACCTCCCCCTCCCCCTCCCTCTCCCCCGCCCAGCTGGACACCAAGTCACTGTCCCAGCCCTGCCTGTATAAATCACCTCTCTGCAGTGGAACAGTTGTAGATGTGCTGGGGCAACAAGCAGAGGCGTTGTGAGGGAGGGGACACCTCAGTATTCACATCACAAGAGTCCCTCCCACACCCTTTCCATGTGGCACTAGAGGGGCCCCTTGTTGGCCGGGCTTTCGTTGCCAGTTCTACTGCACTAGCCGGAAGGTCGGGTCCCATTGTGCTAGGTGCTGTATGAACACATAGCAGATGACAGTCCCCACTCCCAGGCTGTCTAGACTGCACCTCTCTGTCGACAGAGAGGTGTAGATTAGGCACGTCGAAATTGCTAATGAAGCAGGGATTTGGTTTACAGGATCTTTCGAAAAAGGGTTTATTTTTCAACAGATCTGCATCTAGACTGCTGGGGGTTTTTTTTTCCGAAAAAGCTCCGTTTCGAAAAAAAATGGTGGCCACTTTTATGCTAATGAAGCATGGGATAATTAAATCCCTGCTTCGTTAGCAATTTTGACGTGCCTAATCTACATCTCTCTGTCGACAGAGAGGTGTAGTCTAGACGTACCCCCAGAGTGCTTACAGTCTGCCAGGCCACAGGCGGATCAAACAAATGAATGTAGGCCAGGGGCTTAGCCCCCGTTACTCTACCATTTGAGTGCATCACACCCACTAATGGATTTAGCATTGTAGCCCCCCCCCAATCCGGTGAAACATTGCCCCCATGGCACTGAGGTGGAACTGAGGCTCAGGGTAGATTAAGTGACTTGCCCAAGGTCACACAGGGAGCATGTAGCAGGGAGCATGACTGAGGTTCCCCGAGTCCCAGGCTGGCACTCTGACCACAAGGGCAGCCTTCTTGTCGAACAGCAGGTTGTGGGTGAGGGGAGGAGATGTAAGGGGATGTGCCAGTTCCCAGCGGGTCAGAGGAGTGATTCCAACTCCGCATTGTCTAGCTCTGATCAGGTTTAAAGCTCACGTTGAGGCTCTTGTGTACACACAAGGACTTGCTGGCTGGCCTTACTGCACCCTCTCCCTTGGCTGTGAGAACAGCAGGGTGACGGAGCTGGAGTTTTTGTCAAACCCTCATTTTTCCTTCCTCCTACCTTGGACACACAGATGGGCAGCTGCCGCTCCGTGTCAGAGCTGGGCTGTGCTTCTGGGCCTGAAATCCCGCCCAGATGCTGCAGTCTGCAGGGACAGTTCCCTCCTTGTTTCTAGAGCTGCCCCTTTCTCTTTTGCTGCAGAGTCGGCAGAGCCAAAGGCGCTTGCTGTGGTGAAGGCGGGACCAGCCCTTCCTGTCTGTGAATTAAGAGCAGAGCTTCTGAAGGGTGAGGCAGTTCTGGGTTGGAGTGCAGCTTGGAACGGCACGTTGGGAGCCAGCCACGCGGGTGGGAAGAGTAGGAAAGTGTCTGTAACCTATGAAGGCGGTTGGCGTTTCCTTCTTGGACTGGTAACAACATAGCAATGTAGCAAGCCAAAACCATGCTGGGGGGAAGCGGGGGGTGGATCTGAAAGAGCTTCCCGGGGAAAATTTGCAACCCCTAGGCAGGACGGCCTTGTGTGGCTAAAATGGTCTAATTCTGTGCTGGCCTCTGACACAGCTCTGTTTGGGTGCGGCTGTGGCTGGTTGCTTTAATGAAGGGGGATCGGAGTACTCCATTGCCTCACAAGGATGAGGGAAGTCCTGCGCTCCCATATGTGCAGAGAGCTTTGAGATCTCCAGATAGAGGTAAACATTGTGGCTATGTCTACACTGGCGCGATCTTGCGCCAGAAGTATGCAAATGAGGCTAAGTTTGGAATATCGCCGAGCCTCATTTGCATACCTAATGACCCGCCATTTTTGCAGAAGAGGCTCTTGCGCCAGAAGGAGCTGTCTACACTGCCCCTTTTTGCGCAAGAAAAACCCTCTTGCGCAAGGCTGCCACGCTGATTATTTTCAGGAATAACGGCATTGCACAAGAGGATTTTTCTTGCGCAAGAAGGGGCAGTGTAGACAGCTCCTTCTGGCGCAAGAGCCTCTTCTGCAAAAATGGCAGCTCAGTAGGTATGCAAATGAGGCTAAGTTTGGAATATCGCCGAGCCTCATTTGCATACTTCTGGCGCAAGATCGCGCCAGTGTAGACATAGCCTGTGAGTGGCTTACAAGGCCCAAATACATCAGCTGCCACTACTCAGACTGGGTCTACACAACAGACCTACATCAGTATAACAGTGTCACTCAGGGGGGACATCTTAAACCTCCCCATTCCTCCACTTCCCCGTGTAGACAGCACTGTGTTGTGGGAGACCTTGGATTAACCATTTGCAGATGGGAGCTGCTCTCTTGCCAGCGTAGTGGTGTCTACACTAAGGGCACGTCGCCGCTCCAGAGCAAAAGTTGAATTAAGCTATGCAACTTCAGCAACGGCAGTTGCAAAGTTGTCGAAATAGCTTAATTCGGCTTTTGGCGCTGTCTGCACAGCAGGAAGTCGAGGGAAGAGCACTTCTCCTTCGACTTCCCTTACTCCTCCTGAAATGAGGGTTACAGGAGTCGGAGTAAGAAGGCCTCCAGCTCGACATTATTGCGAAATAGCAGCTTGCTGTGTAGTTGCGGAGTTTGTTATTCCGAAATAACGCTGCTGTGTAGATGTGCCCCATAGGCACGACAGTGGCACAGCTGTGCTGCTGTGTAGAGAGACCTTTTGTGGACTCTTTAGTTACAAGGCATCCAATGGGCCCACTACAGTCAGCAG